ACAGAGTCCAAAAGGTTTTTTAAATTTTTCTTAATTATTATTCCATATTAGAAATGAAAAGATTTTGGTACCTTCAAGGCAACTCCAGACATAAAAATGGAAATGGTGTTTCAGGGAATCCTGTCAGTTCCGTAAGAATGACACATAATCCAGTGTGCGAGTCCTACTAATACCTTGTTGTGAATGACATTGAATGACAGCAAATTCTCTAGATTACTGACATACTGCATTAAAAAAAGAATCATAGACTTAAATGTAAATATTTGTTTTACTTAGTACTTACCTTTTGCTCCTGAGAACTGCAACAGAGGAGTGTCCAGTTTGCACCATTTGTTTAATGGGCCACTGCCTTATTGCATGTTTGTCTCCTGTAAACATTAGTTTTCGTGTTCAGATTTTGTTTGTTTGGGGTTTTTTTGATTATCATGTTCACTTAAAATCTACTTTTATAATGTTAAATGTCTCAGTAAGTGTTTAGCAATATTGCAAGACTGGCAAAGGGAGTCAGGGCCCAACATGCAAAGTGTATGTACATGGTACAAGGACATCATTTTTGATATACACTATGTTGACTTCAAGTTTAAGAAACAAGTTGTCCTTGAATTGAAATCTGTTTCAACCCAAATTTAATCTAAAAGCATTATCAGACTGTGAGTGGCATAGATTAATTTATTTAACTCCATGCACAAAACAGCTTTCTTGTTCACAGAAAATGTGCTCTGGGTTGACACAGGTGTCTCTGTCTCATGGCATAAGAACTGCCTGCCTTGCACTTTCTTCATTTTCCTGTCTGCTAGAAGTTTTTCACGTTTCAAGGCAGGGGTTCTCAAATTTAATTTCTTTGGATAGTGTAACCTTAGCTCCAAAGGAGTTACCAGATAAAAGTTTTTAGGTTTTGCTAAGGGAAGATGCATGCTCTGGATTGATTATAGTCCTTTCAAACATTACTGTATTTCTGATGAAAATTATTTTATTTCTCATAGGAATAACATTCCATTTTCCCTGAAAAGTAGACAGGATTTTGGATGGCGTCAAAACAATGTTAGACAGCAGTGACATGAGTTATTTAAACAGTAACTACTGCATCATAAATTAAAATAGTGGAATTATGTTATTCACTGTTGTGACAGAAATATTAAATATTCACTTTTTAGGCTAATGTAATTTTTCAACTGTATTTACTAGTAGTTTGGGGTAATTTTCATCTCCATTTGTTTGGGCCAGAGACAGACATTTGACATAGTCCAGTGGTGTAAGCATTCACAGCAGAGTTAGGAAAACTAAATTCAAGTTCCTGATTCAAGGAATACGTAATTATTGTGTAGTAGAGTAGCATGAACATGTGGACTTTGCAGCCGAACAGATGTATGACAAATAACTGAGTTTATCATCAATCTCATCTCTTAAAGGAAGTGGCACGCAGGCTCTCAATCTAATTGATCAAGTTACTACAGGCTGTAGTAATTCTTGCAAATCAAGTGTTTAAAGCAAGCAGCCTTGATTTATTTGAGCAGAAGGACTGTCTGCCTCACTATGCTGTTGAGGATCTTCACACTTCTGTGGAGTTGTTTCTGATATTCACTGGTGTGAGTTTACCATGACATCTCAATATGATCTCCTCTGGGGAGCTAACCCCTCAAGTGTTGGGCAGCCAGCAGCTGCATAATTAACAAAGTCATAAAACTCCTTTGTAGAATTTGACTTCTATTTTATCAATGGGAACTCAGCAACCCTAAAGTTACATTGACATTGAGTTTTCTTTGTAGGTTCTGACAGATATCAGTACCTTTCAGGACAAAGTCCTGAACCACAAGTTCAAGAGGCATACTTTGGATGACATCCTTTATCATTTGCCATTTGTAGGTTGTCTAGCCATGTGATTGTTTTGGTTGTGTGTTGAGTATGTGTGTTTGGAGCTATATATTGCTTGTGGAGGTTGAAAACTACGTTAAAATTGTTATTTTCTCTTTCCAACCTTTTCTTTGCAGTTCTGGTTGAAAATGCAGTAAATATTGATAAAGATCAGAAGCATGTCTTGAGTCAGAATTTTCCAATGGATTACCATTTGACTGAATTTCACGTTTGTTTCCTCTGGTTTGTCTATTGGATGACTGAGCTTCTGATGTATGGCTAATACTATAGGATTTCCAGCAATATGGCTATTTCAGAAAGAAGCTAGGAAGAATGTTTAAATCGAAAAGCTTTAATAAAGTAGCTTTTTCAAAACTTCAACACCCATGACAGAGTAACTTGAGAATCAAAAAACCCCCGCCCAGGCTGCCATTAAATATATGTTCCAGAGACCATTGATTTTTGAAATACATCCTACAAGTGCTGATTCTGCAAGCAGTTGTTTGTCATAATCAGATCTAAAAGCCCTTTATCTCCTAGCAGCTGATGGCTGTACTATAACCTTTGGCTTCAGACTTCTGGTAGGAACATGCTACATATTTGTGCAAAGAATGAAACTCTAACAGCCTTATCAAATAACAGCAGTACTTGTTGTGTTTAACAGTGCTGGAAATTAGTTTCTCAGGCACTGATCTTGGCAGGTCAGCTGTCACAAATTGATAGACGTATCTGTAAATACATCGGTCCTATAAACAAAATTCTGTCTCCAAGAAGTTGAAGTTAAAATTGGCACACTTCTGAACAAATTAAATGTTCTGAAGCACAAAGATTCACAGGAAAAATCCCTTCTGGAAATGGTTTTTCTCATGTTCCATTTAGCAACTTGTTCTGCATAGTTTTCTTTTTAGAGACTGCGAAGTTTCTGCCTCCACAGAGAGCACTATGGAGTTTTGTGCTGAAATGAAATATGCCCTTCCTCCTTGCACTTACCCCTACTGCATAAAAGAGGAATCTTTGTCTTGCTCCTTTTGAATAAAAGGAATAAATTTATGGTTTTGCACTGGCATGTCTCCAGTTCCTGTTTGGAATTCTTACAGTTACTGTAGAATATGAAATGCAGGGTATTTGAAAAGTCTAAGGCCTTGATATGAAATCAGATAAGAGTTTTTGAAAGGAAAAGGAGTGGAAGAAGGAACTGAAATGTCAGTCCACCAGTGGTGAGGTAATAATTGAATGTGTTACATTTCTCATATTTTTATAAATATCTAATCATCATCTGTTGATTGTGCACGCCATTTTGGCCCAAACCTTCCTTGTATCTTTATCATATACTTTACTACACAGGATGGCTGAAGAAGGCTTAGACAGTGAACTTTCTTTGCAGATTTGAGATGTAATATATACCACACCCCCCTATACTGGTTTTTAAAGTGTGTTGAACCACATTGATTTATGTCAGATGACAAATTTGTCAGTTTCATTTGGCAATAACAAAAGCTAAGAAACATCTGGACATGTTTCAGAGCAAGCATCTAAATTTGAATTTAAAAGATACCATGGCTATAGGTATCTACCTATATTGCTGCAGACAGTTTTATATGCGGAAGCTCATCTGTCACTCCAAACTGGTGTCACAGCGGGAGAGTTTTCAATCTGAGATACTTTAACTTTCAGGAATGTCATTAGAAAGCTGAATATCATCCAGTCATTCTCCTCCTCCATCCTCCAGGTCATCTGGATAAAAGGAGGTGTAGCTTAATTCTTTCCTTTCCTGTGTCTCAGCTTTGAAGATTTAGTGACTATAGAGTAATTTTCCTCAGTTGTGATAGTTATGATGGCTGAATATTCACAGAATGCCCCATTCTTTTCTAGTTCCCTGTTTATCAGTTTAGTGCAACAAAACAAAAATAAAACTACACAGATCTCTCCTATCACATTTTATTTGTTGGTTTGATTTTTGAGGCTTTAGGATAAAACTGAAGTCATAGAAATAAATAATGTAGGACATCTAGCCATAGGCATTTTCAGTGAAATAAATTCTTTCCAAGAAGGTTTTGACTTGTTACATGAAAATTAGCTTCTGGCGGGAAGGAGCCACATTTCACAGATCTTGGACTATGTTTAATTTTTACGGGGCATGCCTTCAGCTAACAACACTGCTTCCACGTATATGAGCATAGTATTGGTGTTTAAGAGTAGAGCAGAAAAAAAAGAAAGAAGCATTTTCTACTTGATATTATTTATTACTCTTCTGAACAAAATGACACCATGGATTACATTTGAAGGCAAAAGGGGTGTCTGCTGCTGCTGAAGAGCATATTTAGTTTGAGTAATCTAAAGGTCACTTAAGATTGACTTATCTACTGAACATATTCTATTGAATTTTGCTGCATTTCTCTTGAGAAAATGCAGTAAAATTGATTTTTAAAGCGATACATTTAATTGAAAAATAAAATATTTAGATATAATGTTCCAGGGAGCTATCCAGAAAACATGCATCCAGGTACATCTAGCAGATGCATGAAGTAGTGGTAGATATGAGATATTTGATCATCAAGATCCTGGGAACTTGAGAGGCTGACATTGTTTTACTGATTAGGAGGAAGTAGGGCAAGAACGATGAAAATAGGACTTAGCATCTGAAGAAAGTCCAAGAGAGAAGACAAGACAGTTTGACACCACAGAATCTGTGTCAAGAATTTATAAATATCAGTGAGCAAGAAAGTTGTGCAGCAGGAAAAAAATATCAGTCTTTAATAAGCAGTAGGGTATGATTTGAAAAGTAGGAGAGGATCTGAGCAGAGAGAGAAATATGGGATAGTGAGACCACTGACAATCCTGAGGACTGTCGGACAACATAAACTTACTGGAGAGAAATGTCATATCAGAGTGTTCTAAGTGAAATAATATGACAAATACTACAGATAATAGAGCAGTTATGTTACAGGCATCAATGGAAATAACATTCAGGCAAGGTACTTGTTTATGTCTATCCTCTAAATCTCATTAATTCTGATTCTGCATTGAAAAAAGCCACACTCCTCTTTATATCACTTCTGGATTCAGTCAAGCTACTGTTAAATGTTTATGTAAATACTGAAAAATTTCTGCCTGTCAGTCCTTCAGACTCACTGTACTTTCTGTTCTAGTTGGCAACGTGGGACTCTGAGAAAGGGCTGAATGGTAGCCTACAAGAACGACGGCTGGGCAATGATTTACAAGGATTGACACTCAAAGTGGTGACTGTCTTGGTATGATCCTATTTGAGTTCAGGAAACAAAATGCCCAAAATAAAAAGGATCTAACAGTATTTTGGGCATGTCCTGCAATATTTTTCCCTATCATTTTCAGTTTTGTATTTTTGGATATCAGTTACATAAGCAAGGAATTTGGATGATGGCCTTCTATTATTTTATGTGAAGCTGTGCAGTGTCAGATATACAGAGCATTTGTTCGCTTATGCTGTTCTTCTCCACTGTAATTTGTACCGGGCATGGAACCAGCAGAGGGCCTGAGTGCACAGGGGTGCATTCTGGGTACCATACTCTAACTTGGATATGTAGTCTCCAGCATTTCATGGATTTTAAGATCAGATGGGCCAACTATGATAATCTAATCTTGGCTCTTGTACACTGCAGACTGTAAAATTTGATCAAGTGTTTCCTCCATCAAGCATAAATTCCCATTGAGATAAGCTATATCTTTTAGAAAGGTGTACTCTTTCCAAAAAATCATTATGCTTTTGGGACTACTGTCTGTTAGTATCTGGAGTGATAGCAGAGCTCCCCTGGGCTAAGGGCTAAGTTAGAGACAAATCAGGCCTTGAATACATTCCTGCCTAAAATATTGTAGTTTGCAGATTGCAGAATGCAGTGTCTTTTTGTGGTTTTTATTTCTCTTTTTCTGAATCATGGTACAAATAGGAAGTACCACATAAGATCATCAAGGCACTCCCCCCAGCGCCCAGTTTTCTTTCCTCTGTCTGGTGACAGGTGAGGTTATGCTGTAGCTTACATGGGAGGTGAGCAGATCCATTCTATGAGAATGTCACTACCAGGTTGAAAAAGAAGACAACTGTGGTGGCAGCCCAGCGTTCTCTGGCAGGAGAGCAGGACACCCATGCCTGACAGAAAGCATACCACAAAATGCTGCATTTCCTTGGTCCCAAAACATACTTTAATTTAAACTACTCCAGGAACCAGTACCCATGAAGGTTATTCTTTGAATTTTCAAAATTACAAATATTCACAAAATGCAGCATTTTTAGCTCTTGTTTCAGTATGTCTCCTGGATAAAAGATTAATTGTTATATTTAAAAGATGGCTTTCTAAATCTGATATGATCTGAGATAGATGGGCAGTAGTAATGTTCCTGTCTAGGACTTCAACCTTTGGGCACTAGGAAGCTGCTAGAGGGGTTTGAATTGTCTTCTGGACACTCTGTCTCCACGTGAGAACTGTGGAAAACCCAAGGCCATGGAAAGGACTCAGGTGTAGAGGCAGTAGTGTCTGGTTGGGATGCCTGATAGTATCCCACATGGCCTACAGTTTTTGCCTCAGAAGGTTATGAGTGTCTCAAAACCTGTGCCAAGTTTTCCAGAATTAACTTAGGAAACATCCTTTTGTTAAGAGAAGCAAACTAAAAAACTTGTTTCAGGTATCAGTGATGATACTGTTTTGTTCTCAGGAAGAACCTTTTGTGATGGTGGCGGAGAACATACTTGGGCAACCAAAACGATATAAAGGATTTTCCATTGATGTCCTGGATGCACTTGCCAAGAATCTGGGCTTCAAGTATGAGATATATCAAGCTCCTGATGGCAAATATGGACAGCAGCTCCCAAACAGCTCCTGGAATGGCATGATTGGAGAACTTATTAACAAGGTACACAGAGAAGAAGCTGCATTAAATAAAAATAAATAAATAAATAAGAAAGACAACTCTTGGGACTAGAGTGTCCAAGTTTAGTAAGGAGGTTGTTTAAATTCTCCCCTTCCGCCATTCCAAATTACAAGAGAGTTTGAGTGCACTGTAAACTGTGCAATTTAATACCCTGTATACAGGATAGGAACTAGAGAGTCTATTCTGTTTACTACCAACTGTTCTCAACATAAATTACATTAGTATAAATCTGTGTGTTTACATAGCTGTAAGAATAAGAAGAGAGGGCATGTATGTGTGTGTGAGTGAATAGCTATAGAAAATAAAGAAAAAAATGTTTTCTTCTTAAAATAGTGCTTACTATTTTTTTAATTTTTGTCATTATGTCTTTGCTGCTTGATTGTATGTGTGACTTTATTTGGGTCACTTTGTAGCAATGTGTTTGATAATGATCAACTGTTTGACTGCAAAGCAGGAAAAATTACCTTAGTAATATACCATAAAGAAGTGTTTTGAAGGACCAGACTTTAAACTGATCTCAAGATTATTCATTCACTTAAAACAGAGAGGACCAAATTTCTCTTCTTAATTGCAGTCTTGCAAATCAGGAGTAAGTTAATTGAACTCCACTGAAGTAAACGGGGAAAGTTCGTAGCTTGGAATCTCCCAGAGAATGAAATTAGAGTGTATTTTGTTCATGTTCTCACTATCTGACATGGGACAAATGTTAATCAAGAGAGAGAATCAATGAAATTAATATTCCATGTTGCTACCCTTTGTAGAAAAGGTTACTCTTCTGCAGTGGAGTTATTACTGAAAGTTAAAGCTTTCTCAGTATCTAGTAAGTAGGTGGCTCAGTATCTGGTAAGTAGATGTTTAGGGAGAAATAGAAGCAATTGAAGCAATAGCAAGTGTGTGTATGATAATGGGATATTCTTCGTTGATGCTAGGAAATATAAAGAATTTTTTATTTATTTTGCATTGACATAAGCTATTTGAATTTCAGTGATTTGAAAATGTGGTAAGAAATCTTGTTAAATTTCTTTAGCAATTGCTTTCTTTGAAGCAACAAAGTATCTATTATGGTATTTTTTTTAAATGGCATTTCTGCTACTAGCTTTTCCACTGGCTCCAAAAGATTTCAAAGGAGACCTCCTTTACCTAACTTAGCTTTACTTTCGCAAACAAAAAGTACGTTCTATTTTTTGAAGAGAACTGTTTTTATTAAGATGGAGAAATATTCAAAATCTAATTGCATCTCTTCGAAAGCTGTGGGAATCTTTTTTATTAACTGCTGTTTTATCTTTCATTGAGTTGCATAGTCTTTAAGGACCCTCTGTGTGTAAAACCTACTCACTTTAAATGTTGAGGTCAAAGCAGTTTCAGGAGCTAAGTTGTCTTTGGTGCATTCTTCCAGTTACTAGTTTTTGCAATAGCTTTATTCATTGTAAAAACCAAACAAAATCTTTCCCCCCAGTTGTCATATGTAATCCCTTCATGAATATGGGAAGTTGGCAACTCTGCAGGGAGAACAGCAAACACTAGCTCTTTGCACCTTTCTATCAAATATACAAGCTAAATAAATGGTATTTCTTTCTTGTTACTTGCAGTGCACCTGGTTAATATAGTTCGGAGTTTTAGGCATCCTTGGGAAAACAAGTGAGGGATGCAGTTTAAATAAGTTCCACTCATTCCAGAGAGGAGTCAGGGTAACGCTTTTTGTTCTAGAGTACGTTAACAGTTTTTGTTTCACTACTCTGCTGTAGACCAGTGCAATTAACTAATGTTCAGATGATGAAACTGATTCTAATTTTAAAACAAGACAATTCATTTAAATTTGTCTAAATGTGTTAAGTTATAAAAAGAAGTGCGTGGAGCCACTTGGTTCTTAAAAGTTTCTCCTTAAGGCTCACGCTGGCCAAATTCATGGTGAAAGGAAGAGATCTGATCTGTTGTGTTTGTCTCACAGAGAGCAGACCTAGCCATCTCAGCCATCACTATAACACCGGAACGAGAGAGTGTTGTGGACTTCAGCAAGCGGTACATGGACTATTCCGTGGGGATCTTAATCAAAAAGCCTGAAGAGAAAATCAACATCTTTTCTCTCTTTGCTCCTTTTGACTTCGCGGTGTGGGCTTGCATTGCTGCAGCCATCCCTATAGTTGGTGTCTTGATATTTGTCCTGAACCGGATCCAGGCAGTCAGGGCACAGAACGCTTCCCAGCCAAGCCCTTCTGCTTCTTCCACCCTCCACAGTGCCATCTGGGTCGTGTACGGCGCCTTTGTTCAGCAAGGTACTTACTCTCTTATAAACACCACTGATGGACATTAAGAAATATTCTGCCTTGGGTAAAGGGGGTCAAGACATCTCAGTCTTGGCCAGAAGAGTCTAAAGATGAAAGAGAAGGCTTGTACGGGGAGGTAATGTGTTTTGTTAGCCCAGCTGATGAAAAGTGGGAAGAGGCAGGTAAGTTTGGGGGTGGTCATGTTCTGCTTTTCTGTCTCAGTAAGTCCAGAAAAAAACACTCCTGGCAGGCTTTTCTTCTTTGGGAAAACTATCACATAGTAAATACATTACAGAGCTGCTTGGTGCAGAATTGCAACAGTTCTCCAACTCTGAAACTAGCACTTTTTCTAATTGTTAAATTCAATTTTTGAAATGTATATGTTTTTAAACTAACATGAGACAGTTTATTTTTTGGTTCTTTGAACTAAATAGGAAAATGATTTGTAGTCCTGTAACTAACTTGACACTCAGGAATCTCTAGGCATAGGAATAATACTATTAAATTCAATAGGATTGCTACCATTAACAAAATTACTTTTGTAAATAATTGTTTGCAAAATCCGCCCACACAGTTTTTGTCCCAAAAAAGCAGGTTTTTGTTGAATGCTAACATATGGATATGTTGTTAACTTTTTTTCTACATTCATTGTGATTGCAAGCTTATAAAGCTTCAGCTGGAGAATCCTTACTATTGCTATGAAACTTGGTCCCTCATCTCATTAAGGTGGCATCCCTCATGGGTTTAAGTACAGTAAGATGTAATCAGCACAAACATATGCTGAAGTGACTAGCACCAGCTATATGGTAAGCTTTGGTCTCCAACAATGTTCAAGCCTACCTGTGCTTGAAGCCTGCTAAAAAGAAACTTCACGTTGTTTGAAATGTTGTAGAGAGCCACAAGTAATGACACTAATGCGTCAGTCTGCAGATTTAAATACAGCATAGATAGAACACAAACCATTGGACAGTTTTGTGGGATTTTTCCAAATCTAAAATGGTCATTAAAAGCAGAATATTACCATATTCTGAATACTGCAATGATTTAATTTCTGCATATTAGTCATGCTTCACCATTAAATTTTCTTTATTTAGAGTATTTTTCATGTTCTATAGATTTGATCCTTGGTAATTCCCAAGGGAGATATTTTGAAAGATGATTTTCTAGAACAGTATCCAGGGCAAGAGGTTGACTAGAGAAAATGTTTGTAAATTATCAGTCTTAATGGAAGCAGTGCTTTTCTCACAGTGAAAGGGTGGCCTGCAGGGGAAGCCAAAATGCAGAGGAGCAGCTCCAACAAAGTTTAGCATAACAAGGCACACAGAGGGTGATCCTAAATGGGAGCTGCTGACACATCCTCATTTTATCTGTTTATTTGTAGGGGGCGAATCTACTGTCAATTCTGTGGCTATGCGCATTGTAATGGGAAGCTGGTGGCTCTTCACCCTTATGGTGTGCTCTTCCTACACAGCAAACTTAGCAGCATTTCTCACAGTATCAAGGATGGATAATCCCATAAGGTAAGAGCCTCTTCTTAATATGAAGCTGGAAACCTGAATTTCACAGAAAGGTATTATCCATTTGAGCATTCATTCTTGCAAGAGGGAGATAACTCTAATAAAATACTCTGCTTATTTGCAGTGGTTGCTTTCCTCTGCTGTCCCCCTTTTCACTTTCAGTCCAGCAACCCCCAAGCAGTTTTGATAGGTGCATGGAGGGGACAATGGAACTTTAATTATGCATTTTTCCAGAAGAAAAGTCTTTCTTGTTTATATGTATTTTGCTTAACTAGAGCTCTCTCTGCTTCAGCTGTCCTTATTTCTTTGTTCAACATCAGAGGGAACTGCCACCTCTAGGGAACTACATGACATTTCACTTCTTACCTTCAATGTGTAATTTTATGTTCTCAATATTTTGATATACACTGTTGTTTATACTATTGTTTGCATGTGAGGTAATATAGATGATCTTCTAAAATATAAATGGCCAAATTCAGTGGCATTATTTGCAGAAAATGCTTCTTCTCAAGGAGGAAAAGATAACTGAACCTGACACCAAGATAATAGATGTAATATAGCAGTTGTTTTATTAAATTTATATATAATTCTCTGCAGTTGTGCTGGCAATATTGTGATGATAAATTACAGCTTCTGTAAAAAACCCAATATAGCTCGCACCTTTGACTTCTTTCACCTGCTGTTTGCCTACTAATCCATACCAAATAACAATATTTCAATAAACCAAGCCTCTGAGCAGCTCCAGAGAGCTGCTGGTTGTTTGATGGCAATTTGTGTGTAATTTGGTTTTCTTTAGAAAATTTAAAGGCTGAAGAATGTTTTCATTTTTTTCTCTCAAAACACAGACAAAATTTCCCCCTTCACACTGGCAATGGAGTACTAGGAGGGCCATTGATTTTCCGCAGTCAGTGCTGACAGGATTACAGCCCGGTATCTCATGTTTGACCTGGTGGCGATGGAGTGGAGGGGTGGCCAGGGGACAGGCTGAGCGACACAAGCTCTCCTTCTAGAGAATGCTGACCCAAGGATTTTAGGTGCTAGAGAGTGACAGTTACTCTGTTGGTCTCATTTGGAGTGGCACTGGGAAAACTGGCGCTGTAATGTTTGTGCTGGGCTCCTGAAACAGAGGCATTACCACTTAGGTGAGGCTGGCACTTCGAAGGGCTGCTTTTGACTTCTCTGTGGTATCTCCACAGAAGCATGTAAGTGCGTTTCTCATAAACATGAGTTTAATGGTATTTCCAGTTTTTAACTTGACATTGCATACTTACAGGTAATGTAACACTTTGTATGGTTATAGTGTTATAATATAAATAAAACCAGCCCAAAACCATACAGGCTTTGTTTTTAAATTAATTTTCTGTTAGTTTGGCCACAATAAGTGGGTTTTAACAGTAAAGGAAATAAGAACTGCAAGCAATTTCTGGAAATAACATGAGAAACTAAATAGAATAAAACTACCAGAGTATCTGTGAGGGTGGACTGTAATGGGAATAAGGTTAAGCTCTTGAAACCCAAGACAGAAATAGTTATCTGGAAAGTTTCAATAGTGATCATTGCAAAAAGTTCTGAAAGTTCTAGTTTCTTCATAGCAGAAGAAATTCTCGGTTTGGTCTACTGAGCACCTCCGAAAACTCAGCAAAGTTCAGAGGAGGACAAAAGTTAGGGTGAAATGCAGTGAGGAATCTCCAAACAAGACAAGTTTAAGAGCAGAATTATGAATTATTAGAGGAGGCCTTTGAGGCTGAGCTATTGCATTTACAAGGGGGTTTTATTCCCCATCTTAATGAAAGGACATTGATAAGAATTTTGAGGAGGAGAGAAGTTATTTGGGTAAAGGAACTGCTTGGTGTTGTTTTGGGACTTTAGACCCCCCTTCTACTGTTACAGATGGCAGCTGAAAAATTATAATTAAATGCCTTTCTATACCTAACAGTAGCTGCCACTTTCCAGGTTCCCAATATCACATCCCCTTGTACAAGGTGAGGATACAGAAGGAAGAAAGCACTCTACTGTGATCTGCAAACACCAGCAGAGTAATTCAGGTGCCAAAACATAAATGTCTGCAGTAATTTAAGTTGCCATCAGGTTCACTGGCTGCGCTCCAGCTACTTGGCTATAAGGGCAGGGGTCTCTATTAGGTGTTGTCAGCCACAATGTGAATTATTCATTTTGCCTGGGCTGTCTGAAGTGGTCCTGGATGTTTTGGCTTAGGCATCCAAATCATTCCTGAGGTAATCTGAAATGGTAGCTGTGAGAAAGCTCTTTGATTTGATCACTGGTTGGCATAACTGAGACAGTTAAGGGACTTGCTTGTCTTGGCTTGCGTATGGCTGTTTTACAAAGTTTGCAGAGATCTCCTTGAGATCCTGCTACTCTGAGAGACAGAGACATCTGGGCTAACCTCTCTCATCAAAAACTGCTAGCGCGTTAGGGGAGAGGAGATGGAGTGAAGAAGTAGGTTCTCTGGAAATTCTGTTGATCTTTCATCCATTTTTAAGCTATGATGAAGTTATTTTCTTGTCCCCACTCCTTAGGAGAAACTTTTTATAAAATGTGTCAGTTTAGAACAAATTTTTTTTCTGAGAAACTATATTACTGCCTTACATGAATGCATCATGGCCTGGTGTCTCAGCTCCCAGTACTGCTGAGCTTCAGCATCAGTGATGCGGAGTGGCTATTTTTGCCTTTCTAAATCTGCCACTCAGCTTGCCTGCATTATATCTTTCATGGACCCAGAAAGGAATACTTATGTGAAATCCATTTTTCCCACCCAAAGAGGCACAATGAGCTATAGCTGAAAATTTGCTCACCAGCTGAGAACTATCAAATCCATCTGTGTATACTTCCATTGTTAAGAAACCACCCCCTGTCCTCTCAGTAAATGTGTGCTGTTATCTCTCCCTCCATAGAGAAGTCCTCTGGTGTTCAGTACTGCTGCTGCTAAATTGCCAGCAGGAGAGAAAATAGTATTACGGAGCTGTAGCTGCAACATAGTTAAGATTTTCATTACAAGACTGATTTTCTTCCCAAGCCACCTCCAAAACGCCTATTAAAAGTTGTTTCAGCATCAAATTTGGCATATGTGGTCTGTGACTAGCAGAATAGGAGTATGTTTGATTGAATAACTAGGTGTCAGTCAACCCAGTGATCATTACCTCCACAATTTCACCGCAAAACAAGTGTGTCATAGAAATCATAAACAATATTTATTAGAAGGGACTTGGTGAGACATTCACTGAAGGAAAGTTGAACTGTTGGAAGGCAGATTTTTAGAATTAACAGGTCAGATGAAAGCTTGCTGATGAGGGAATAATTTTTTTTTTAAATCTGGTATTTGGAAAATCTCACAAGGCTTTTCCACCCTGACATGAGTTTCAAGGACTGCCTGTGGCTCACAGAAAGGTAAAATACCCAAAGTAGGAGGCACAGCAGAAGGCAGCTTTGATATGCTGCTTGTGTTTCTGTATTTCCTCACAGAGACTTCCCAAATCCCAAGTTCCCAAGTGCTCTGCTGTCCAGGTGCCCAGATCCCATGTAAGAAACATGCCTATCTTGGAAAGAACAAAAATCATTCTCCTTGGATTTTCCTGAACCCTCGAGGGCTTAATCACAAGCATGATAATGGTGAGAGGCAGAGGCTTTCTGGTCTGGCACAGCTGCACATGCTGCCTTGCTCCTCACGTGTCCTGTGCTCCCATCACTCGTGCTGGTATGACAGGGCAGTGGGGACGGTCAGAACGTGGAGTTTGAGACACACTTCAAAACCTCTAGCCCTTCAGGAGATCCAGGATAGCAGAAAATAGTGTGAACCCTCCTCATCTGTCCTCCATTTTTCATTTGCTAGTGGTTGGTACCTCTGCACCCCTTTGCTCTTTTTAATACGGTTTCTCTGAGCCCTTTGTCAAAATTAGCTCTTCTGCTCCCCTCAACTCCTCTCTGCCCAAACCTCACAACAAGGGAACAAAGGCAGTGTAGTGGTTAGGTCAGGATTTCTGCATTCATAGAGGTTCACAGGCAGGGCAGTGAACTGTCAAGCAAATTTCCTGATTGCACGTGGGCAGAGGAGCAAGATATTACCACGTTCAAAAAGAGAAGGTGTTTTTTGTGAATATGCTGGTGGCAACCACTTTGGAGCTCAGGCTAGGAAGCCACGATCCATGTTCTAACTTTGTAAATAAGCAATTATTAATTTTTGTTTTTAAATAGAAATCTAGGTTAGTGGTTAGAGCTTGCACTAATCCTTGACAAACTTTTTTAAACCCAAATGATTTGCATTTATTATTGTAATATTTGCCTTCAGAACTCTATGCAGCTGAGAAGTCTTCTAGTGGATCAGTCTGCCAAGTAAGGGCTGAATTATTACATGCAAGTTTGTTCTTTCTTTTTGTCTTATTACATTTTCAAACAGCCGTTGGATCTGATGTCTGACCTTCCATTTGTAACTATGAGTTTAATTAGCAGTGACTTAACTTCCAGCTTCATTTCTTGTTAACAAGCAGACTACACGCAGTTCAGTAGCTGCACAGATATTCTGAAACTCAGGTTTAGGAGAGCTTGTCTGACAAGAGGTTACAAATCAGGCAGGAAAAATAGGACATAAAAATGTAGGCTATTTGCAAACTCAGAAGATTTTATCAAATTAATCCTTAACATTTGCACATGCTATGGATGTTTTGAAAGGCATCTTTATATGTGCATTCATAGACTGCATACAAATGCATGTTATATCTTTTAAGTTCACAGCTGTTGTTTCATGATTTGAGATTTCCTTATTTGCATTTTAATCCCCAAATTTCATGTGTTTTGGTGACAGCTGAAGATTTACTGCAGCTTAGTTGGGGTGATAGTCTGGCACTTGGAAGACTTGGGTACAAATTCTTTTTCTATCACAAACTTTGTTTGATCTTGGCATGCTTAGCCTCCTCTCTGTTTCAGTTCCCTTTCTGTGTAACAGAGTAACAACTTTTTTGTATCTTACATGTCACATTGTAAGTTTAGCT